AAAAAAAAAAAAAAAAAAACAAAAAGTAACTATTATTTCCCAATTACCGAGATCTTTTCGCTGGAAGTGAAGTTATTCTTTTCGAGAGGAAGAAAACGATTGGCCTTAACAAAAGATTAATGGATCGATAATACATATTTTGAGAGGTAGACATAAGTACAACGGCGAATGGCGCATTAAATGTGCAATTTATTTCGGTTTGTGACCTCATTTACCTGACAGTTATGCGGTTGCAACAAAGCAGGGCGCTATTTTTTGTACGAGTATCGCTTATATAATTAGAAAAGGAAAGGAATATGCGCATGCAGTATGCGATACGCGCGCGTCGAGTACTTTAGGAGGATTTGCTATTTCCATCAATCAATGGAATTTGGGACAGTAGTTACGAGTGGATCCGCATTATTTTCTATTTTGTACTTGACTTTGTAGTCTTTCACGCGTGTATACCATTGGCCACTGACAAGCGCAATGCGTCCTTTACTTTCGACGATCTTTGAATTTCCGTTTGTAACGAATAATGAATATTTGCCGTGCTAATCACATTTAGCAGCGTATTAAGTTCTCGTGACACACTGAAAAATATTTTATTAACGAAATAACCGAATTCAATTTAAGAAAAGGCGCGGCAACGACAGGAAGCGGCATATGAGCATTGTTTACGTGGTAGTTATTTGAGAATGTGATAAAATAATAAATGATATTTAATTCTTGACTCAACAGTCGTTTATTATAGAACTGTCCTTTCCGAGAGAGGAGACGGTTACTTTCTCGCTATCGATATCGATATTTATAAAAAGTCAGTACCTACGTTTATACATATATAAGCTCTGTTATTTGTACATTTTACTTAAATGCGATAACAAGAATGTAGCATGTCTTACACTTTGTTATTTTTTTTTCCTATATTGCTATACTTGTTACAAAAAATGAAATGAATAGATTCGTGTCACAGTCACACAAATATAATATTTTCTTAAACATACGCGCAAAATGGCTGCCTTTAGAACACTCTGTAGACACACACACACTATACTACAGATAATTTATCTTCCTCTTTTCGTTTATGCGTAACAAACAATTTTATCATCACCATGATAAAACGAATAACTTTTTCATTTTACAGAAGGAAATAATGAACGCTAAAACATTTGGTAAACATTAAAAGCTTACGAAGAATAATTTTACAATATATTATATATTTAGCTGCTCATTAAACAAGCTGATCTTTCAATATGCTTAAAATATTTCGCGTAAGGTGAGCATTTTTATTTTTTGATTTTAATTATTTTGTTTACAAATTATAACACGTGCACCGACATCAAATGTCTCGATGTGCGCTGTTATTCTCCAATTGCTTCATGTAGAATTAATGTACAAAAAACAACTAGATTATCAACTTTTAATATGTCGCACAATACGAATAAGAATATTTCTTACAAGATACTATTACATTCATAACAATCCACATTACAATACATGATTGAAATTTATAATAAATTCAAGTTACAAACTGTGGTATGAATTTCAAGTTACGTTCGTACACATAATGGTGAATGTGATGGAAGTGCGATGTAACTCATCCATCATTCTTTATTTCAAAATTCGAAAAAATATTCGAATAAAATTCATAATTTTATGAAAGAGAGAGAGAGGCGAATAAATTCGTGGAAATATCGCAATGAATTGAACATTAAAATTAATATCAATGTAAAATATATTATTACAATTTCTTATATCAACGATCATCGCGTGATTATACATGTCAATTTCACTTGATCACTTTACAAATACTTAAACGGCCGCGCACAGCCGTTTCGACAATCGCCGTTTCAATTGTGATCCATAATTCAACTGTTCAACTCTCGACTCTCGAACTATGCTTCTACTCAAAATTGATGTATTTAATATATGTACACATGCATCTTTCGTATCATTTCACTGAAATCGTATGCGTTTTATCGTTATGATCGGTACGCAGAATATCTTTTTGTTAGCACTGACGTCAGAGTGATCAGGATTACATTACTTAGGCAGATTACGGCAATTACGAATGTCATTCGTCGAAAGCGTTTAACGCCTCCCGTAGTTTGTCGACTATTTTCTGATAGAAGGCGATTTGTTCCGTAAGATGCGTCCTTACGGCCTTATTTATATGGACTTCCCGTTCGGTCTGGAAATGCGTCTCCTCAGCGATTAGTGCGCGAGCTATCACGTCAGTCCGATGAGACAGTTCACGTAATTGCTGTGGCTCCATTTTATGCTCGCTGACCAGTCGCTCGCAGTCTCTTCGCTTTTGCATAGCGCTCTACAACAGAACGAAATACACAAGACACGTTAAACACACTTAATTTGTTCAGATAAGATTGCGTTGATTAATACACGTCGCGAAATACCTTATGGATGCTGATGACGTCGGGAAAACTGCTAATAATACCGCGATAAATGTGGAACTTATCAGATAACGGTTCCCAATCGAACTTTGGCTGGTCCTCGTACAGCTTGCCGATGTCGTTATAAGCATCGCCGGTCGCCTTCAACGCGCGCGTCAGGTTCCCGCCGTTATCGTCCGCTTCAAGAGCGTGGCTGAGCGACGTGAACGACTGACTGATCTTTTGGAATTCCCTTTTGTACAGCACCTGATGCTTCTTTGCCTGATCGACCGCCATGGCCATGAAATTCTTCACCACTGGATCCAGACCGTTAATAAATCTACCGAAGGTATCCGTCTGAATCTCCATCTTGATTACGTCTAGCGGCGTATCCGGGCTCTGGATGGCATTAAAATAATTCACGCCTAGCAGCTCGTCCTTCTCCGCCTGTCGTTTCCCTGCCTTCCATCGTTTCTCATCCGTGCAGGTGATAAAGTGTTCCCAAACACGACTTCGCGACAGCACGGGATGCCGGCAGACATAATCGACAAACTCCTGCAATTGCGTACGTCGATGTTCGATAAACGCATCCTCGTAGCGCCCAGATATCTGCTTATCGGGCAGAGGCGGGATCGGGATGAAGCAATATTTCTCTTCTAAGCGTTCGTGCAGCCAATCAAAATGCTTGTACCTCCTCGAGACTTGTATGTTATTGAACTGCAATATAAATATTATATGTATATATAA